CACAGGTTTCATGATATTGGATTATTAAAAAAAAAAAAATGCCCTATCTGGGAAATTTGTCCTATTTGCTGAAAGACCCAGAATTCTATCAGGCACCAAGAACAGATATTCCCCACTCCTAAGAAACATTATAGGACTAGTTCAGATTTTCTTTTGTTAAATGTCATCAGATCACCCGATTTTTTTTCCAGCATACCTCCTCTTCTCGTGTGTTGCTTTATATGTCGCTGTTGACAGCTGCAACTATTTATGCATGCATTTCTACAGAAAACCTTGATTAACTGGGACATAGCAAACTGTAGCACTTAAATGACTATGGTTTTCCCCTATGGACATCATTTGGAGGAGAAAGAGAAATGACAACTAGAGTTGTGAGAACTAAAGAGAATCATGTAATTCAGCATCTTTGATTTTACTGCTAAGAGAAGGAGAATGGATCAAGGACACCCTGCTGATTAAGAGCAGAGTCAGGAGAGGATTCTGTTTGTTCCACTTTCTTCTGGACTGCGGCCTAAAGTCGTGGCTTTTGGTATCTTGGTGGTGTTTCTCCTAAAGCTTTTGCCACTACACTGCAGATCTCAAATTCAAATGCCTGCAAGGGCTTGCTGACCGGTAGTAGGAATGGGTGTAGGAGGCTGAGTATCCTACGTTGGGAAGTAGTAGTGAAACATGGCCCTCAGACTAGAGCCTATGTGCCCTCTGTAAAGGCATCTAAACTAAAATATTTTTCATTTTAAGAAGTTCAGGACAGACAAAACATGTCTGGGAGTCAAGATGGCCTGATACTCCCCAGTGTGAGTGCCTTGCACTATGTATATCCATAGGCCTTATTCAATAAGGAGATAATCTGGATTATGACCCTCAGGCACATTGCCAAAGTAAGTTCAATACTGTGCATTGATTTATATTTGTTAAAACAGAAAATTGAAGAGATGCATTTTAGAAACCTGATCATAATATATTTTGTAACAGAGAGAACAGAGTAGAAGCTCTGGCTTCATTTACTGCCTGCTTAGCCAAAACTGTTTGCAGTCCAATTAGCCAAATGAATTCAGATGTCACAGTGTATAGGACATTCATAATTAGGAATACTAGGACCTGTTAGTACCAGAGATTATCCCATAACAAAGACATTTAAACATTTATAATTAGGACACACAGTGAGAAATACATTTATATCATTACTGAGCAGAAACATGCACATACACACTCATGTGTATCACACAAACCCAAAACAGTATCTTAAGAAACAATATCTGTGTTCCAAATGCTGATATTTTCCAACCTATTTCATTTTTATGAAAATACTTTATAATTTACTTGTTGGCTATGACATATAGTTTAAAAAAATCACCGGACTAGGTAATGCTATGACATTTTTGTTTATTAACTCAGTAGATATTTACTCAATATCTAATGAGAGTGAGGTGCTCTTTGGAGTGTCATGGGAGACACAAACATGAACAAAACATAGACTTTTGCCCTCAAAGAGTGCAAATCCAATAGGAAGGATATACATGTGAATATTTAATAACTCAATGCCAAACAATCAGTTCACATTATACAAAGTGCTTTTATATTATCATATGTCATAATGATAATAAATCTCTTAGGTAAGTTGGGCCAATTTTGGCTTAATTGTACAGACAGGAAGTTGCATTTTTGGAGAGGTGACATTTTTAAAAGAAGCGGAATAATGGTAATAATAGATAGCATATGTTAAGCACTTATTATAGTTAGGAACAAATTTACTTCTCACTATAACCTTATTATGATGGCATTACTGTAATCCTCATCTTACAGAGGAGAAAAGTGAGGCAGAGAGGTTAAATAACTTGCCCAACGTTATAGAGCCAAGAGTAATTGGAATTAAGAATCAATCATAGGTAACTTCAGTCTTAATCAATGTATTATATTTCCTGGAAATGAAAATCACAGATCAAAATCTGTGGCATACATACCTTGATCTCTTAGCCCACCAGAAAAGTGAGGTGGCATCCACCGTGACAGGGCAGCATTTGGAATGGGATGTGTTTGAAGGGGATGGGGTGGAATAGAGCCTGGCTCCTCAATATTCCTCAGTGTGACTAATCTTCGTCAAGTTAATAAAAGCACCTGAAGGCAGCAAAAGAAAAGACAAAGGGAAAGATTGCTCACCCCAAAGAGGGCATCTTATCTTTTGCCTTTGTCTCATGTATGATGTAGTATTTTTGAGATAAATTATGAAGCAATCTTGAGTTTGGAAAATCAAGGGTTAGGCTTTAAATATTCACCTTGTGTTTGACCAGCGCCACCTCCCTTAAGCCCAAATTCTCATTCAAAATTACACAGACAACTTTCCATTAGCATACTCCTGGAAAAAATAATACTCAGCCTTTATTGAGCTTTTCCCATGGGAAAAACAAAGACTGCCAGGCACTGAGCATAGAGCTGCACCCAGTACAGACCAATAATAGTAATAGAAGCATTTGTTAAGTACTTCCTCTTTTTCTCTCTCTCTGTATATCTGTTAGGTACTAATCTAATTCTTCTATATAATGATGGTACTCATATGATGCTTGTTTTATAGAGCAGAACAGTGAGATATTCATTGATAAGTATATGAATTTGATCTTTAGCACACTAAAGAAAGTTTTAATATTGAAATTGGTGCATATTCAAATTTAGGCCCAAGCCCTAGTATTTAGGCTGTTGTAAATTAACCTAGTTATTATATTTTCCTGCCTCAATATGCTCCTTAAATATTCGATTTTGTAGGGTCATTAATAGTTATCCTGATTGACATTATTTATGTTAAGTGTAAAGATAAAAATAAAATCCTTTTAGCCCATTTTCTTTAAATTTGCAAACTCCAGAGATAGATACTGAAAACTACGAAGGCATACATCTAATCTATAATTTCTTTCAGCACTATGTCTGCAAGTTGAAATTGAGGAAAAATAAAGTGTTTTTTGAAAATAATAATTTTTACTTTTCAAGAATGATCTTTTTTTTTTTTTTTTTTTTTTTTGGAGACAGGATCTCAATCTGTCACCCAGGCTTGTTCTAAATTCTCTTAATCCAACAATTATAGTCCAGCATTTGTCAGGGCACATGACAAACACTAGGTATTTACTCTTCCTGTGTGTTGGTAATGAATTAAAAGTACAGAGAAAGATTATTTAAGATGTTATGGGAAAAGATTTCTTTAATAGACTTTACAGAATTATTACTTTAGTCAAGTAACTAAAATAGTTCAATCTGATAGATTTGGAAAATGAAAGTATAAAAATTTGTTTTAACATTTTTATTACAGTTTTTCCTGCCACCTTTCAGGCTGTTTGATCTTGTTATAAATGAGCATTAACTCTGATTTGCAATTCAGGTCACACCAAACCATCAAATAATGCAGTTGGGAAAGCAAATGGCCAGGAAGTTTAGGTTTCCCCAGAAGGACTGGAAGGATTTAGAAAACATTTCTTTTGACTTCTTCTGATTCATGCTCTTCCTACAAGAATCTGTGTTTGGGTGACCCTGGTACAGGGAAATGTCTCTTAGGCCAGTTTATTTTACTAGACCTGTGTAGAGCTAGAGCTTCCAGGAAACTTTCTGAGTCTCAAAGGGTCTGGACTGAAGTCTCTTAGATTCTATTGTTTGATTTTGTGTCCTTAGGTAATTGAAATAATGACACCAAGAGAAAACCATGTAAGATGAGAAGAAAGCAAAAGGCTTTGTGTGTGGGCTCAAGTACATTTTACATGCATGTGCTTTTTTCTTGTTTTGGTGAGGAAACTGTCAAGTGACTTTTGAAGGGCTCCTCCCTTAGTCCCTCCAGCTTCAGTAGAGAAAATGATAATTTTAAACCAAGACTTTTACTTGATCTTTCACCTAAGATGATGAGAATGAGCAGTCCTTCTGAAATCTTATTACTTTAAGTGAAAATAAACATTTGATAATTACATTAAGACTCACCAGAGTTTATACAGGTTCTGTTAAGGTCCAGAACTTATACAATATTAGAATTTTCTTTTAAGAATACTCAATAACAAATATAAAATTAGGCATACAGCTTAATTAACTTCATGATAAATTCTCTTCTGATTATGAGTGACTGCTTCCTTTGGCCAGAATTATGAAAGAAAAATAAGGGGTGAGGCTAGAGGATGGGGAAAAAAATCCTTGTCTATCTTGCTTCCCAAGCAGGCCCTCAAGCTAGCTGACTGATAGTCTTTTCTCCAGGTCCTAAGGTAAATGGTGGCAGATCTGAAATTGCACCGGACTTAACCCTGCCCCTCTTCCAGTGTATTCGCTCAACAAATAGTTCTAAACAGTCACATCTGCTCACTAGGCAGAATGGATGCTAACTGCCTCCTAGTATTGGAATATCCAACTCTTTAATACCTCCCTTAGGGATCATCCCCATTCTGGAGAATGTGCAAAATATTGCTCTTCCTTTATATCCTAGCATGGATATATTCTGGCACTTAACATGCATTCTTTTTCTGTTGAATTGAGTTACAATTAAGTCCTCTAGGACGGTTACCGTCCTGGTGGCCTTGGCGGACTCCGGTGAAAATAGGCTAAGTTGCATGAAATGGGTGTGTCTGGATTTTACCACGAGACCCCTGGTCCTCCAAGCTTCTCAGGCCGAGACACCTCGCCCCTTTCTTCTCCGACACACGCGTACGAACACACCCTCCCAACCCTTGTCGTAGTAGTCCCCTCCCCCGACCACCCCGCCCCGTTTCCCGCCTTCAACCCCCTCATCCACGAACCTCTCCTCCCCGCCCTCCTCCCTTTCCTTTCCTCCCCGCGGGCCAGCGGCTTTGGCGCTGCCCTGCTGCGCGGCGGGGCGACGCGGCGACACCTATAGGATTGCTTCCGGGCACTCCTCAGCCAGGAGGTGCTGGCCTGGGGCCCGGAGCTCGGCAGGGCCGGGCGGCTCCGCGGCGTTGGCCCCGAGGACGCGCGCCCCCGCCCGCCCGCCCGCGTCTCCTTCCCTCCCTCCCTCCTCCCGGCGCCCGGAGCCGAGCTCTGCCCAGGGCGGCGGCTTCGCCTCGCCCCGCGAAGCTCCTCTCCGGTGGCCGCCCCTTCTTTTCCCTCCTCTGTGCGTCATGTCGGGCACTTGATTTTTTTTTTTTTTTTAATTCCTTCTTCAGCCCTTTCCACCTTCCATCTCCCCCTTCGTTTCCCAGGTTGATTATTTTCTCTCTTCTCCGGGCTTGCCCATGAGCCTCCTCGGGAGCTACCGGAAAAAGACCGGCAACGATGGTTATGAATCTTTGCAGCTGGTGGACAGTAACGGGGACTTAAGTGCGGGAAGCGGCGGGGCTGGCGGCAAGCACAGAGTGAACGCTGGGGCAGCGGCGCGGAGTCCCGCCCGGCAGCCTCCGGACCGCGCCAGCACCATGGACAGCTCAGGTAGCGCTGCCCGCGGGGAGCGCAGCGCTGAGCCGCGCTCGGCCTCCGGAGCCTCCCAGTCGCTCGGCCCGAGGCCCCCCCTCGCCCTTAGCCCCGGCGTGCTAGAGAGCTGGGCTGGAGGCGAAAGCTTCTAATACCACCCGGGTGTCGAGTCTCTAATTTCTCTCATCCAGGGAGCTAGGAAACCTTAGCCAGCAGTCCGGAGGCCCAGAGACTGTAGCGAGCGCCTCCTAATCTCTCCAGACTGCTGAATACGGCAGCTGGGGGCGGGGAGGGGGAGGGAAGGAGGAGGGGAGGGGTGGAGAGGAGAGGGGAGGGGGTGGCGCGAGGAACGGCTTGAGAGGAGGGCTGGGAGAGGCAGCTGCTTTCACTACCCAGCTGGATGAGGGAGAGAGGTGAAGGAGCAAGTGCGTTGTTTTTGCAGCATGCAGACGGTATTTATTCCAATTGCTATACTCGCAATGCTGATGCTATTTGCAATTCTGTAAAGCCCTGCCACGTCTTAGCCGTCTGCTAGAGTTAATGTTACCTTTCTCCTGTAGTTTTTAACCTGGGATCTAGAACTCTTTTACACAGCTTTTACGGTTTGCACAATGAAATTTATTTCATCTGTTGTTGGCTTTGATCTTGTTTTTCCTTTGCCATTGAGTGTACAGATTTCATAAACCTTTACTGTAGGGACAATGGAAATGCCTCTGAACTTTGTATCTGTGCTTGCAACTGTCTTCTAGACAACGTTTTGGCAAGTTAGAGTCCTCTCTTGGAACTGCTGTTGGCATTTGCGATTTCAGTATCAAAACAGTTATTTCATATATCCATGTTGGCCTAGGAGTATTATTATAGCTATTTGCTGACTTCTGCAGGGAACCAGGTTCGGAGAATTGTTTACAGAGATAATTTATAATTGACCTCCCCAGTGGTTGGTTTTACATTGACAATTTTAATACTGGACAACTTAGGACTCCAGAGGAAATATTCATATAAGGTCGTTTGAACAGTAATGAAATCAAACTGAATTTAAATGCCCTGCTTTGCAAACAAATGCTTGTTTATTTTAATTGTGTAATGGCTCTCCTTGGGCTATCAATTTCTATTTTCCTTGTCCCAAAGTGGGATGAAATATTGTCCACAGATGCCCTCATGTCCTGGGTTGAAAGTAAATTGTACCCAGTCAAGCTCTTCAGATATTGTTGGGACAATCTCTTAGACCATTTAAAATAAAGCTAAAATGATCCCCAAGGGACTGATGATTTCAGGAATTTTTTTTTTTTTTTTTTTTGAGACAAAGAGTCTTGCTCTTAACGCCCAGGCTAGAGTGCAGTGGTACAATCTTGGCTCACTGCAACCTCCATCTCCTGGGTTCAAGCAATTCTCCTGTCTCAGCCTCCCGAGTAGCTGGGATTACAGATGCCCGCCACCATGTCCAGCTAATTTTTGTTCGTTTAGTAGAGACTGGGTTTCACCATGTTTGCAGGCTGGTCTTGAACTCCTGACCTCAGGTAATCTGCCTGCCTCAGCCTCCCACAGTGCTGAGATTACAAGTGTGAGCCAGGGCACCCAGCCAGGACTTTTTTTTTTTTAATTGATGTTGCACATGATTATTTGATTTACGTTTTTTTTCAAATCTGTGATATATCAAAGTGTAATCCATTTTTTTGGCTGAATGTAATCTCCTTTAAATCTTAAAAAGATTCATGTTCTCTGAATGATGCCATCATAATCATGTTTACGCATAGTGAGCATGTAAACAATTTAAATGAAAACAAACACATTCCAAATGAGTGTGAAGGAGACTCGCTCAGGGAAATGAAAAATATGAAATACGTGTGTTTTCATTTTTCATAGGGATTATTATTTTAAGAGTTGGAATTTGTTTTTGAAATATGTTACATTGTAGAATACATTCAACGTTTATTTTCTGAGCCTTGCTATGTGCTAAGCACTATGGGGGAACACAGTAGTGAATGAAATCCTTGTGGCCTCTAGGGGACTGTCAGTGGGGGCAAGTTACTATAACACAGAGCAGAGCAACCTATGGTAAGTCCTGGATTTTTAAGAATCGTCTTTTTCACTAAATCAGACTTTTTTAATAGGTTGAGAGAAGAATAATGGATTGATTTAATAACCTGTTGCGATGGGAAAGTGTTTCATTAGAATATTGTTATCTCTCATGTGCTATTGCCAGGAGTTGATCCTTAAATGTGATAAAAGTGGCATTTATGAAGAGGTTACAGGGATCCCTTTTCGCCTCTCCTTATGCACCATTTTCTCCTATATTTTGTTAGAGGGATGTTGTGGATTTGTCGTAAAAGTACAGGGTATCCTACGGTGATTTTGATGCATATTTTCAATTGAGAATGATTTGTTTGGTTTGAATGAAGGAATGGACTCTGAGAGTAGGATTTATTTACTGGTACAACTATATCTGTCTTGCCTAATTATAGTTCTTTCTTCTAAGATCCTCAAAGTGTGGCCTGTGCAGTATAAATGTATCCATTTGTTTAGTACATCTAATTAAGTTCATGTATCATTTCTAAAGTAGCAGTAATCTGCCCATTTATTCAACTGATTGTACTGTGACATGCTGGATCGGATCAGTGGTTTATGGTGCTTTTGCTCTGACAGAAATGTTAATGAATGGAAAAAAAGTGTTGATATCTCTCTAGAGAATTTAAAGCTTAATCTTAATAATACCTTATACTTGTAAGACTGTTTATAATAGAACACTTGGAGAATTCTCTTATTTCATTTCCCCAGAATTTTATTAAATAGGTAGGGAGAGCAGCATGTGTCTATGCTTGGAGACGTGGGATCAAACCTCAGCATTATTGCTACTCGTTGAAAAGCCTAGTAACCTTTATCTTTTCTTCTCTCTCTCTCTCTCTCTCTCTGTCGCCAAGGCTGGAGTGCAGTGGTGCAATTTCAGCTCACTGCAACCTCCACCTCCTAGGTTCAGACAGTTCTCATGTTTCAGCCTCCCAAGTAGCTGGGATTACAGGCATGTGCCACCACACCTGGCTAATTTTTGTATTTTTAGTAGAGATGGGCTCTTGCCATGTTAGTGAGGCTGGTCTCAAACTCCTGGTCTCAAGAGATCTGCCTGCCTTGGCCTCTCAAAGTGCCGTGATTATAGGCATGAACCACTGTGCCTGCCTCTAGTAACCTTTTAAAGTCTGTTCTTATTTGTTTGTTTGTATGAGACAGGGTCCTGCTCTGTTACCCAGGCTGGAGTGCAGTGGTGTGATCATGGCTCACTGCAGTCTGGTCCTCCTGAGCTCAAACGACCCTCCCGCCTTACCCTCCTGAATAGCTGGGACTACAGTCATGAACCACCATCCCTGGCTAATTTTTTTTTCTTTGTAGAGATGGGACTTTTGCCACATTGCCCAGGCTGGTCTCGAACCCCTGGGCTCAAGTGATCCACCCACCTTGTCCTCCCAAAGTGCTGGGATTACAGGCGTGAGCCATCATGCCTGACCTATTCCCATTTATAAAAGGGGAATGATAATAGCTGTTCTTACCACAGAACTTTAGTTGAGGCTAAAAACAATATAAAAATACATTTGCAGTCTTTCTTTACTTTGTATCTTGCCCTTTCAATTCATCATATGAAGAAACTTATTCTCAGAGGTGGTAGGAGACCTGTCAAAGGTAGAATAGATAGTGACAGACAGACTTAGGTCCTCTTCTGACTCAAAGGTTTGAGGTTTTCCCCACTGAACTAAACTTTTGGGTAGGGACAGTATCAACTGATTGTTGAAATGGAAACAATTTTATCTACTTTGATTTCCCTCTCTGTTTTTAGATAAAAGAGGGACAGATGTTCAGAGGAATGTAATGGCTTTCTAAGTCAACAGCCTCCCAAGTGGTAGATAACAGCAGTCTCCTAGCCAGATACTTCTTTGAGAGCTCTCTGCCTTCCCTGGCTCACTTTCTCTTCATTCAAATTATTCTCTAGAAAAACATTGTCATTTAAAGGTCATCCTGTCATATCTGAAAGACACTGCACTACCCCGGTTCATTAGCTGAAAACCCCCTATTTCTCTTGTGTGCACCCCACTTTTCAGGGAAAGTAGAACCCACAAAAGTAGAACTTCCAATATTGACCTGCTAAAGTGTTCCAATATTGGGCTTAATTTACCAAGTTTATAATGACAAGCTGAAAAAGAGTAGTCCAATTAAAATCTGGTAACAGATATTAATACATTTTAAAGAATAAGGATAATGAACGATGCTAAAATAACATGTAGTGTGAATCTGGTTGTAAACAAAAATTACCTTTAACAAATTATATTCGTGTTAGTGTTTATACACCAGGTTTCAACATTATAAGACATGTATTTGGATAACTGTATACTTCATGGAAGTATAATAAACATGTGTACTAATAATCTTTTCTTAAGAATACCTGCCTGTTTAAAGGTATTGTAGGTTGGAGGCAAAGTTGATTTGTATAACTTATTTTTTATTTTTTTGAGACAGAGTCTTACTCTGTCACCCAGGCTAGAGCGCAGAGGCATGATCTCGGCCCACGGCAACCTCCGCCTCTTGGGTTCCAGCGATTCTCCTATCTCAGCCTCCTGAGTAACTGGGATTATAGGCACTCACCACCATGCATGACTAATTTTTTGTATTTTTAGTAGGGACGGGGTTTCACCATGTTGGCCAAGTTGGTCTTGAACTCCTTACCTCAGGTGATCTGCCCGCCTCGGCCTCCCAAAGTTCTGGGATTACGGGTGTGAGCCACCATGCCTGGTCAATTCATATAACATATTTAATATGTGGTTATAGTTTGGATGTTTCTGGATAATCATTTAAGGATGCACCAGTTACTGGATAACAGAACAAGATATGTCAATCTAAGTTTCAAATTTCAAATGCTTGGAGACTGCCAGATTTCATAGATTTGGAAGGGAAATCCCTGGAACCAAATCTCAGAAAGTTGGCCAGGTAGCCAATGGTGGACATTTTCTGTGACAGAGTTTTTGCCACTGGAGCAGTATCTTTGAACCGTTCTCATCAGCACAGAATTCTTTTTATTTGGGCAAAATCTGCCTTTCTGTTCTCTAGATACAAATGAAATCCAATCCTTCTTTTTTTTTTTTTTTTTTGAGACAGAGTCTCGCTGTGTTGTCCAGGCTTGAGTGCCGTGGCATGATCTTGGCTCACTGCAATTTCCGCCTACCAGGCTCGGGCAGTTCTCCTACCTCAGCCTCTGGAGTTGCTGGGATTACAGGCACATGCCACTACACCCAGCTAATTTTTGCATTTTAGTAGAGATGGGGTTTCACCAGGTTGTCCAGGCTGGTCTGGAATTTCCGACCTAAGGTGATCGGCCTGCCTTGGCCTCCCAAAGTGCTGGGATTACAGATGTTAGCCACTGTGCCCAGCCTCCAACCCTCCTTTCACATGGTAGTCTTTAGACAACTGATTTTTGAGAACAGACACTAATTCTCCTCTTAATCTAGTTTTCCTCTTTTCTAGGCCAATCAAGCCTAAGTTTCACACTCTTTTCTCTATATAAAATGATTTCCATATCATTATCCTAAGCTTTGAGAATAATGGGTTTTTTTCTTAATTTTTATTTTGCACCACAGGGGTTTTCACCAATTTTTATTATAAAAGGTTAAAAAAGACTTAAAGGCCAGGCAGGGTGGATCACGCTTGTAATCCCAGCACTTTGGGAGGCCAAGGCAGGTGGTTCTGAGGTTAAACGATCAAGACTATCCTGGCCAACATGGTGAAACACTGTCTCTAATAAAAATATAAAAATGAGCTGAGTGTGGTGGTATGCCTGTAGTCCCAGCTACTCGGGAGACTGAGGCAGGAGAATGGGTTGAATCCAAGAGGCGGAGGTTACAGTGAGCCAAGATTGCACCACTGTACTCCAGCCTGGTGACAGAGTGAGACTCTATCACACACAAACGCACAAAGTTAAAGATTACAGAAAGGAATAAAATGAAAAAAGTAAAGTATTCTCTACTCTCCCTGATTCTTTAGGTCATTGCCTCAGAGATAACGCCTACTAAAAGTTTCTGGAAAGATTTTCAACATACAACATAAGTATGTATAAATATATATGCTGTATACATATATGTATACCATTAGAATTATAATAAAATACAGATTCAAAGCTTAACCACATACATATCTGTATATTGTTCAATAATGCTACAATTATATGATAGCTACAATTTAATGATTATAATTCAGGCATTATGCTAAACACTGTGCATATGGTATCATATTTAACCCTCGTAAGAATCCTATAAGTGATAGTAACTGTCCTCTTATAGTTGAATAAACCAAGGCACAAAGAGGTTAAGCAAGTTGCATGAAGTTACACAGGCTCTACTTACTCTTTTTTTTTTTTTTTTGAGACGGAGTTTCGCTCTTGTTACCCAGGCTGGAGTGCAATGGCGCGATCTCGGCTCACCGCAACCTCCGCCTCCCGGGTTCAGGCAATTCTCCTGTCTCAGCCTCCTGAGTAGCTGGGATTACAGGCACGGCCACCATGCCCAGCTAATTTTTTGTATTTTTAGTAGAGACGGGGTTTCACCATGTTGGCCAGGATGGTCTCATCTCTTGACCTCGTGATCCGCCTGCCTCAGCCTCCCAAAGTGCTGGGATTACAGGCGTGAGCCACCGCGCTCGGCCCAGGCTCTACTTATTCTATATTGAGTAAAATGCGATAGAGAAATGCCCATAAGATTGCAAATGAAGAATTTAGTGGTGAATTTTTTCATTTGCTTCTTTCTCTGAGGCAAGGAAAAATAGGAGTAATTGAGAGAACCAAAATGGGTTAAGTTGTTTTTGAATCCCATGAAACTACAAATATGTTTTCTTCACTTAAATTTAAAGAATTTAAAAACACTGGCTGACAGCGCCTGCGGGCTGTGCCGCCGGCTAAGGTGCTGGGCTGCTGGGGGCGGGGCGGGGACCCGTGTAGCCTCTGGGCCTTGTTGTGCCCTGGCGCCACCCGGACATCGCTCAGGCCACTGGCACCATGGAGATCTGGACGTCAGAGCACATCTTTGACCACTCGTGGGAAATTGTTACAACAGCTGCAATGCAGAAATAACCAAACTCTATGGATCTAAGTGTAGTTGGAGTTGATGTGTTGGACAGACATATAGATCCCTCTGGAAAGTTGCACAGCCACAGATTTCTCAGCACACAGTAGGGACTGCCTTCCATTGTGAAACCTCTTATTCTTAGTGGTGCAGCAAGAACGAAAACATATGTGCACGAACATTCTGTAGTTGATTCCGTAGAGAAAACAATGGAACTTAACTCTACTAATATTTCATTTACAAATATGGTTTCAGTAGATCAGAGACTTATACACAAACCAAATCCTCAGGACCCAGAAAAAATTGTTTTGACTCAAGAAGCCGTAATCACCGTGAAAGGGGTTAGCCTCAGCAGTTACCTTGAAGGTCTGATGGCAAGTATGTTATTCTCAAACACTGTTAAAGGCCGAGAAGCAATGGAATGGGTAATACATAAAGTAAATGCCAAGATTGAAGAACTGACAGCCTCAGGAAGAGGAAGCATAATGACTCCAGGGGCAGCAGCATTTGCTAAGAAGTGATCATGAAAGTTGGTAGAGAATGTGGGGTACCCCAGGTCTCTCCAAGCTGACTACATATTTATGTGTTATTTTACAAATACAACTATATTTTAGATAGATTTTTTTTTATAAGTTGGTGTAAGGCTATGTGACTTGATCAAAACAGATGCAGGGCCTCTAAATAAAAGAGATCATCTGAAATTAATATTGTTTGAAATTACTATCTGATCTTGAGGGTTCCAGTATTTCTGTGAAAATTCAACAAGAACTCCTTGGAAATTGGTATTGATAATGAATCTCCTTAAGGTAGAATTTTCAATCTTTTCAAACGTTGGAACTCTACCTGACTTTGGACCAACCCCAGAACAGAGCAGAGCCACCTCCGATAGACACCCATTGCCCTGCTGCTGTACACTTCAACATCTTGCCCAAGGCAACTCACTTAAAAGGAGAAATTGTGTAGTTTTAAAATATATTTTGTGTAAAATAACTTGCTCTGCTATAAGCCACCATTAACCAGTGTTTTAATTTGGTACTTAAATATTTTTGGAGTGAAAATTATCACTAAAGTAACCTGACTCCAACAAAAGTATGGTTTCATTATATTAAAGAGTACTGTATTGATTTGTCAAAGGTTTGTAACTTAGTAAAGGTATTCACTTCCTTAGATTTGTTCTTTGTGATTTAGTATACTGTACCCTGGGCTGGTTATGTTAACTGAAAAAAATAAAGTCATTAACTGAGTTTTGCAGTGCTCTAACTTAAACAGAAGAACAGCTGTTCACATATTTTAGCATTTCACATTTGTATAACTTAAAAATTGCCATGTGTCAAAATCATGTTTTTGTAATTGCTAAGGCATGATATGTCAGGTTATTTGAATATAATTACTTTTTGAAGTAATTGTGACCACAAAACATCTTTTTCTACATGAAGGAGCTGTACATCATTTGAAATTACTCAAATGATGTCTTACTCTGAAGCATAAACCCCAGGTACTTAAAGTTTTTAGTAATATGGTGCCCCTTCAGGATTTGGGGGCAGCGAGGAAGAACAAGGATAATGGTGAGGGGAGGCTTGGTCTGAGACTGAGTGAATTGCACTGCAGCTTTTGTCTGTGGGAATTCCTTATTTGGTATGTCAGAGGGCAGTGGCAAGCTGAAAAACAATCCAGTAAATGTACTTCGTTTTATATTTTGTAGCAGGCAATTATCAACCACTAAATAATAGCTTTGACATTTGCAATTGTTGCACAGAGAGTATTTTTGCTAGCAGATCATTAGTTCTTGCCTTTATTTTACAGTGCTTAGTGTGATAAGCTTCTGCCTATCAAAAAGACCAGTTAATACATAAACCACAGAAACAGTGTAACAAACTATTTTAAAATTATCATTTTCCTACTTACAAATTGTTTAGCTTAGGACTTAAGACATTTGTAAAAGCAGGTTAAATTTAATAAGGTTTCCGATTTTTTTTTTTTTGTAACTGGAAATAGTTTTTTCAAGTGAAATAACATTTCAGCTAAATAAAACATTGCTAAATAATTGATATTTGATGAAAATCTTCCTTTTATAATTTCTGCAAATTATACTTGTTCTGAGAAAGGTGTAATGCCCTAATAATAAGGGATTTTTAAACAAATCCTTTTCCTTTTTTTTTTTTTTTTTTTTTTTTTTTTGAGACAGAGCCTCGCACTATCGCCAGTCTGGAGTGGGTGGCACGATCCCAGCTCACTCCAACTTCCATTTTCCACTTTCAAGCAATTCTCCTGCTTCGCCTCCCAAGTAGCTGGGACTACAGGCATGCACCACCACACCCGGCTAATTTTTTTTTTTTTTTTTTTGTATTTTTAGTAGAGACAGGGTTTCACCATGTTGGACAGGATGGTCTCGATCTCTTGACCTTGTGATCCACCCACCTTGGCCTCCCAAAGTGCTGGAATTACAGGCTTGAGCCAATGCGCCCGGCCTATCCCTTGATTTTTTAAACTCTGATGTAATGATAAAACTATAAATTTTCATTTTCTGGTGCCGTTAGTTACCTTTTTTGAAATAGCTGGTAATTTATAGCTCTTACCTGTTAAACATAAATGCACAGCAAGCAAATGAACTTAAGAGGACTAACTGGAGTAAGTGTTCATAAATGAAACCTTGAAGTATTGAATACTAAAATTGAAATGTGGGTTAAGAAAGAAAAAAGAATTTAAAAACACTGGAAATGAAGGAGACAGCAAAACCAGCATTGAATAAAGCTGATTAAGACTTGATATGGCACTGAGAGAACAATATAATTGATGCAGCATTACATTTTTTTGGAAAAATATCTTGCAAATGAAAATGGATCCCCACTGCTCTTAGGATAAATTCCAGGGTATTGTTAACAGGACATCAGAAGCCCTTTGTGGTACCTCTGAAAACGAGCCCAACAAAACTTGCTGTCTCTCCACTGGTAGATCCCCTCCCCAGCCTGCACTTTTGTCTTTATGTTTTTGCATATGCTGTTCCCTCAGTGGAGGCCAACTTATCCCATAGCTTCCTGGATACCCACTTTTCCAGGTTATCTCCTACTCATTCTTCAGGGCTTGGCTTAGGTAATCCTTAATTCCAAGCGGCATGCAATAGTCATTCTCCATGCTCCTCAGCAGCCTGTACTTCCCTATCACAACTCTCCTCATGTTGAGTTGTGATATGCTGCCTGGCCTCTCTCTCTCTCTAGCCTGTAAGTAAAGTTCAGAGCAAGGCTGGGTCTTATTTGCCTTTGTATTCTTGTCATTTCTTGGCATTTATTAGGAGCCTGATAAATGCTTGTTGAATGCACAAAGCATGAACACATTTTGAATTTTTAAAAGGGCATTCATAATGAAATATGCCCATCCAAATCTAAAAATAAGCATGCAGCTAGGTTTTAATAGAAATGAGGCCAGGTTTGAGAGAAATGTAACTGTTGGTCAAAAGCTAGACCAATTCAGTAATGAGCATTTTTTTTTTTTCATATACAAAGGCACTGGAAGTGAAAGAAAGATGATTAATGTATAGCTTAGACCCTTAACAGTTTTCTAATACAGACATGTCAAGAAAGAATTAGCTTACCAAAAGACAGTGCTTTTTCAACCAACAAATAAAATTTACTGTATGATTTATCATAAAGCTAACTTTTGTTTAGCTAAAAAAAGGGAACTTAAAATGTGTATAATTTTTTTCATGAACTAACAATAGATTACTTTTATCTATAGATCTGTGTGTTTCTTAATCAGTATCATTAAGTTTTAATCTTAGCCATTTTCGGGTTTAATATTAAAAGTTCTTTGTATCATATTTGGCTGTCTATAGTGGTATATAAGTTTTCTGCTGACTTATTGCTTTTTATAATCCATGCTCACCATCTTGAACTCCTTTTGGAAAAAAGCTGTGTTTGAGATGGATGAAGAATCCTGGAGTTTAGATAATGCATTTCCTTGTTGCAAAATGTGTAACTCTGAAAAAACTAAATTACAGTTATTGTATATTAAACAGCTATTGCTGAAATTTACTTGAAAGTTTTTGACAGAGTAGCTCAGTATCTGAGGAGAAGTTGTTCTTCACGGTCCAAGGAATTAGGAAGCTCCATAACATGTGCCAAGGGATCTGGCAATTTCTACTACCTTTAGTTGCATTATCTGAGATATCACAGGCCATAGTCTAGATGCAAAAATATCTTTTTATTTCAATAATACATCAGAACATAATTTTAAATGTACTAGAGAGAGAAACTTTAAATTCAAATTCAAATGTGTATGGTATTAGCAGTGCAAATATCACCACCAAGGAAGCAAGCAGATGAGCCAGTGCCTCCTGTGCAGTGTCGAGTTTGCATGTGCAGAAAATCACCTTCGGTGTATTGTGGTGTAGTGCTCTACCTGGTAGCTGGCAAGTGTGTTTGGCATACATTGTAAGCCACTTCCTGATTTTAGAAGTGTTATGCTGTGCAAAAAGTGCAATTAGAATTGGAGATATTTGACAAAAGGTAGGGTGAATAAATAGTGTAATGATAGTTATATAAAGTATTATAGGAGTGCAGAAGAAGGAGCCATAATTTTAACCAGGAAGACTAAGGAAGGCCACAGTAGAAGTTGATATTTGAGCCAGAAATCCATAGGGAAAGAAGGAAAGAAAACTTGTTTTGGGCTTCGGGCTAATGCACAGTGGCATCATAGTGCATGGTATGTTGACAGCATTGTATTTAGGCCTGAAGCTGGAGCCCAGATGGGTGGGAGGTACTTTAGCAGATGGTGCTGGGAAGATAAGACCCTGGTCAGGGTGAGTCTGCTGAGGAGGCTGGACTTTATTCTTCAGGTAGTGGAAGGCCACTGAAGATTTGGGGACAGAGGTGAGTTAGGGCTGACTTATCTACTAGGCACAGTGTCTAGGAAGCACAATAATTTTAGGGTCCACAAAAATATTTACATTTTAATTGCCTTTAAAACCAGAATAAAATAAATAAGCACAACAATAATGAATTCATCTTTATTCAAATGCAGTCATTATAATATATGGTTTTTTTTTTCTTCCTATTAAGAGGAATAGGTCCATGAAGGTAAAAGTGCCTGTGGCCTACAAAAGTCATACTGCAGCCCCAGGGAAAAGAGGGCAAAATATGAATCCTGGAGATAATTGACAGCTGTGTGAAGGATGAATCCCACCTGTGGTTCCCAACTGTGTCCTGGCTATATCAGATTTACTTGATTAAACACAGATTCCCTGCTGTGCAGCCATTAAAAGGAACCAGATCATGTCGTTTGCAGAGACACGGATGGAGCTGGAAGCTGCTATCCTCAGCAAACTAATGCAGCAACAGAAAACCAAACACCACATGTTCTCAGTTATAAGTGGGAGTTGAAGATGAAAACACATGGACACATGGCAGAGAACACACACTGGGGCTTGTCAGGGTGTAGGGTGGGGTAGTGGGAAGGAGAGCATCAGGAAGAATAGCTAATGGATAATGGCCTAACACCTAGGTGATGGGTTGATCTGTGCAGCAAACCATCTTGGCACATGTTTACCTATGTAACAAACCTACACATTCTGCACATGTACCCCAGAACTTAAAATAAAAGTTGAATGAAAAAAAAAAGGAAAAGAAAACACAGATTCCAGAGCCCTAGGCATGCTTGATTTTGGAGGAAGGGGAGGGGTATGCTAGAAGACAGAGCAGGCCTGTGGAGGACCAGGAAAACAATCGAATGGCAGTTTAGCTGATGACCTGAGAAACCACAAAGGCCCTAGCCAGGGCAGTTCCAGTGAGACTGGGAAAAAAAGGCAGCCTGGGGAAGCATTGCACAGGTGAATGACAGACTGACAACCAACCAGTGGTAGGGTGTGAGGTACAGGAGTTGCCTGGATGGCAGCAGGAGAGAAGGTAGTATTTCTAGTCTTAGCCAGAAGTGGAAAATGTGACCAACTGTTTTTCTCTGCTGCAAGCTCACCATAAACATGCCTGTGGAAGGGCTGAGGATACTGTCAGCTTGGCACAAGTTTTCACCAGGCTTTCACCTTTTTGGTAGACTGCCCATTAGGCTGTGCAGTTGCCCAGGGGAGTGCTGTGGAGGGATGAGAGGCAGGAGCAGGCCCTGTGTTTGCCTTGAGGAGGAGTAAGATAATGGGCAGAAATGCTAGAACTGAAGCTCTGTGGCTCTGGGCTGAGTCCAGGCCTGAGGCCCAAGGCCAGGATGGTGTCGGTGTCGGGTGGCCCCTTCTCACTGGGAG